CATTCATCGCTACCAATTCCATCCCACCGCCGTGCCTTTATGCTGGCCCGCTTAAATGCATTTCCAACTATGGTAACACTGGGCAGATTTAGAGGCTTACCTTACTCAGATCGCCTCTGTCTGTGCAACTCTGGCGAAATTGAAACTTTAGACCATCTGATGTTTTGCTGTCCCCATTGGACTCAAGATAGAGGGATATATATCATTCCTATTCTTACGAAGATAAATCTTCCCTCGCAACCTTGGGTTTTTTCAGTATTGTTATCTGATTCAAATGCCTATGGACTGATAACAGCTAACGTGGTGTGGTTCCTGGCTAAGGTTGCTGCTCTCAAGAAACACTGAAAGCTTTATCATCTTTGCAAACACCTACACTGATTTTAATCTTCGGAGGATTTTAGTTAGTTGGCTCTGCCCCAAGTGTAGTTAGGTCTTTTTTATTCTCTGGGCTATGCCTGGGTTTTATATGTTTACTGATTGTGACTATGTACTTGTCATATTTTATGTCAATTTTATGTACCTATTTTACCCCTTTTGCATTTTCTTTTGGTCAAGACTTTGGTCATATAGACCCGTAATAAATTGAAATAAATTGAATTTTGTGCTTCAGAACCAATGAGGAATCTATTACAGTGTCCAGGGAAGCTGCTTATGAAGATGGTGTTAACAAATTTGCACAGACCATAGTCTTCTCTCCAATCCAATGACCCCGTCCCCCCAAGTCGGAGTATGTGCATTTCGTTCAACTGATTCCTATTGCAGTGGGAAATCACACAAGCCACCAGCATGAAAAAGGCCAAAAACCTGCATTCATTTCATTTTCCTCTTTTCTGCTGAAAACTCAGAGTCATGCTTCCTTTTTGTGGTCTACTGTTTATTTCATAAAGTGAGGAAGGAGAATGGCCACTCTTCCATTATTCCTTATGGGGGAATGGGGAGGGGGTGGGGGAGTGGCTTCTTTCAACCAAATGACACAAAATTGCAAGGAAGTGAGTTCTTCCTGTTCACTAAAGTCTACCCAAGTTTCAAGCAAATTGGATCAAGGATTTAATTCTATGGGACACTGAACAAAGTTCCCTGGACTTTCTACTTTCTGGGGAATGGGGGAGTTTCTACTCCCACAAAGGCGGGGCGAAGAATGAGAAAGCTAGAATGCCAGTTCTGCTATTATTCCACATGGGTGACATTCTCAAAGGTCCGGAGAGGGTATCTTTTGAACAAATGACACCAAATTTCAGTAGAAACAGTGCTTCCCTTTACATAAAGACCACCCAATTTCAAGTGAATTGGAGCAAGAGGTACAATTCTATGGGCCCCTGAACCAAGTTCCACCAGGCATTCTACTGTCAGAGAGAGAAAAAGGGCTCCATCCTTACAAAGTAGGGAGTGGATAAGAGCAGCAAGTCTCCGTAGCTTCTCTCCAGAGGAGACTGGCTGCGAGTGCTCTTTGTTCCTCCCTTGCAAGGATTCAAATTAGAAGGGAAAATACCATTGCCCAAGAAAACAATTTCATCAAAGAAAAACATGCATACATTCTGCATTGCTGGTAAGCACCCAAACTCAAACACAGATTGTTTGTGGAGGGGGTGCCATTATACCAACAACCCCAGATTCATAAGATTCTTCCATAAAATCACCGTACTGACCCCAGCCAGTGAATTCTGTTTATATCTCTGGCTCAACAATTTCATTATGCACACACCTTCCCCTGATCCAACAGATGTTCTCTCTGGTATTTTAGGCTGATCTGATGCTATTTTGGATAAAGGTACAAGGAGGCATGAATTGATTTTGTTCTCTTATTCTCAGCATCGTAACCACTGAGCAACTGCAGCCCCCCTCTTATTCCCCCAGCAATCCTCAAATAACAGTGCTAACGGTCCTGAAGAAAATTGTCCCGTCCATTAAACAGAGGCTTAATAGGGACAGCTGAAGTGTTTCATCACGGGTCAGTAAAGAGCATTACACAGTAAATAACATCCCATTAAACTTCCGTAAAATTCTTTGTGCATGGATTATTGGTAGGCTATTTTCTCCCTATAATGGAATGTGCAGGGAAGGAGCTAAACTCTGCTTCAACCCTCCTTTACCATAATGTTATTTCAGCATTTTTCACCCAAAAATAACTGGCATTGGAACCTGGGTGAAAGAAACGGTGCTTCTTAAAGTGGAATTCACAGAGGAATGGAGAGTGTGAGAGAAAGAAATTCGCATGTGCATGCTCAATGTTTCATTAAAAATGGGGACATGCAGATTTTATACATGAAACCCTATTCTTCTGTAGAATTGGGAAGCCACTGGGATGGCCCTCTCAGGCAGGAAGAAGAAGAAGAAGAAGAAGAAGAAGAAGAAGAAGAAGAAGAAGAAGAAGAAGAAGAAGAAGAAGAAGAAGAAGAAGAAGAAGAAGAAGAAGAAATTGGATTTATACCCCACCCTTCACTTGGAGTCTCAGAGTGGCTTACAAACTCCTTTTCCCTTCCCCTCCCCACAACAGACACCCTGTGAGGTGGGTGGGGCTGAGAGAACTCTGACACAAACTGCTCTTTCAAGATCAGCTGTGCCAGAGCTTGTGACTGATGCAAGGTCTCATCAGCAGGTGCAAGTGGAGGAGTGGGGAATCAAACCCGGTTCTCCCAGATTAGAGTCCCCACTCCTAACCACTACACCAAACTGTCTCTGTCTCCACATACAACCCACCTCATCACTGCATGGAGGGGTACACTGAGGTGGGTGCGGCTGAGAGAGCTCTTTTTCAAGGACAGCTCTTATCAGAGCTACAGCTTGGCCAAGGTCATCCAGCCAGGTGCAAGTGGAAGAGTGGGGAATCAAACCCGGTTCTCCCAGATTAGAGTCCACACACTTAACCACTACACCAAACTGGAAGATAAGGTAACTGCTCTAATGGATTCAGGTGTGCATGCACATGAAATCTTACACCCAGAATAAAACTTTGTTGGTCTTAAAGGCGCCACTGGACTCTTCTGCTTTGATGAAATAATGTCTCAGTCAAGGACACGTGTACCTGCCGAATTCACTAAGCCGGTGTTTCCTAATCTATGGGTCCCATCCCCAAAGTGGATCCCAGGCTTTTGCAATTCTTTGATTTGTGTATGTACCTGTTGTTTTTTTTCCTTAAGTGGGTCATCATACCAAGCATGTTTGGACTTGTGGGTTTCAATACTAAAAAGGATAGGAACCAGACCACTAGAGAGGTACAACCGAGAAACTGTCAAAGGATAAAGCTGCACATAAAACCAGCAGTTATTCAGATACAACATGCTTGTTGGGAACCTGACACAAGAACCTGAGCATTTAAAAGATGAGAATGTTTTTTAAAAAAGGAATTTGATATTGTTGTATATTCTGGACTTTATGAACACCATGGTCCTTAACATTAATATTCCTTCTATGTGAAACTTTACCTGGAATGGCTGTGGCTTTGGATTCTCCAGCTTGCTTCCATCTACCATGATTGCATATTTGGTTCTGGATGAAGACATGCCATGTAATGCATGGGCCACAGCATAGACAGCACTGTAGACACTGTAGCTTTGTCCTGTCATGTTCATTTCAAAAAAAGGCCCAGGAAGGCTCTCCAGCTTCTCTTCCCCAGTACAGGTATTCATGGTCTCATTGCCTACATTAATATCTGGTAATACACAGTCAAAGGCCTGCTGCCAGAAGGTCCGGATAAAACCATCTTCCTCTGTATGGGGATTCAGTCTCTGAAGGAACTTCTGGAATCCTTGAACTTCAGTGAGATGAAGTGCAAATGATAAAGCACCATCAAAGACTTGTATGTCTAGATTTCTATGATGTATCTCTGATGAAAAATCAAACTGGGCCGTCATAACCCACACCTTGCCTATAGGTCTCATGGAATCTGGATCAAACTGAATCAGTATTATCTGCAAAGCGCTCATGCTTTGAGAGTCTGCATTTATGATACATATGTTGACATTCGTCTCAGTTAAGAAAATGGTCATATTCTGAAATAGTTCTAGCATTCCATATACTTCGTATATGCTTCTGTAGGTTGGTATTCTTTCCGTGAAGGCTATACAGATGTCATTCTGGGAAAACTTGTGTGCCAAAGTCTGCACAAACCTTTCTCCTTTATCATCATTCATTGCGACAATACCAACCCACTTCCAGTGGAAATGCAGAAGAAGCTGGACAATCCCAGTGTAGTGATGCTCTTCACTGGGGACAACTCTGTATAAAGGAGAATGTTGGGTTACCTCACTCATTGCAGGAGCAAATAAGCAATATGTGACCTAAACACAAGAAGAGAGATACTTTACTTCACTGGGTTTAAGTTTATACTGAGTTTCCAATTCTGTGTTGAATTCTAGGTGTGTTCTGGGTGAATCCCATACCTTTTCTCTCCTGTTTAAAATGAAAAGTGCAATATCAATTGGGAAGGGATACAAATAGGGAACAGTTTAGGTCCATGCAGTGAAATTCATGTCTGTGTGGTCACTTGGTTTCAAGTACAAGATGGGAAGAAGTGTATTCAGATTATTTTTGAGGGTAAATAGACACTCTGGGCTGCAGTGGCTCAGAGGTTAAGATGCTGAGCTGCAGACCGGAAGGTTTGGCAGTTCGAAACCCTTGTGTGGCATGACGGAGTGAGCTCCCGTCTCTGGTCCCAGCTCCATCCAACCTAGCAGTTCAAAGGCAAGAAATTGCAAGTAGATAAATAGGTACTGCTTTGGTGCAAAGGCAACAGTGTTCTGTATCCCTCGGCGTTTAATCATGCTGGCCACATGACCACGGAAATGTCTTTGGACATCGCTGGCTCTTCGGCTTGGAAATGGAGATGAGCACCACCCCCTAGAGTCAGATTTGACTAGCTTTACTAGACATTTTGGTTTCTGTGATGAGAAGAATGTAAACAACAACTTGGTCAAGTGAGCAGGGAAGGGGCATTACCTTGACAACATTCAGTATCCTGGCCAGGCTTCAATTATGTTGGAAGTTGTTGTTTGTTTTCTGAACAGTTTTACTCTTTCTAGTCCAAGTTCCTGGTGTCCAAACAGACCATTTTATCAACAAGAAAAAATGTGTTTTCTCAGCCTCCAAAGTAGTTCATTTGGGCACATGTGAGTGGCCGAGTTTGTGATGCTTGAGGGGGTTGTTTGAAGTGTTCCAAGCTTTCTTCTTTGGCTTGTTTAACGCTAAACTCTTTTCTTAAAGTATGTGGATATTTTCTTTCCAGAAACAAAACAAGAAAACAGAAATCGAGAAAGCCTCTCTGTGTCTCACATACTGGGAAAGGTCCAGACACATTTTCCCCTGTGTCATGCCCAATTCTCCTCTTTATTATAGCTCTGCCACAAGACTGCTGTACATGCAGCTGCCATTATCCCAACAAGGATTTTTTTCGGGGTGGCCACACCGGACTTCTGGTCTGCTCCACATATTTCCACCAGCATAAGAACTGGTTGGATCCTTCCCACTCATTGTACACTACTACCTCATATATAGATAGAGGGAATGCAGGGTGATATCATAATACATTATTTACACTTCAAACA